TTTTTTTTTTTTTTTTTTTTTTTTTTTGCTGGGGCTTCCCTGGTCTTTGCACGGCCGGGCCACCCGGGAAAACAGGGTAACCCGGGCGGCCCGGCTGGTAGCCTAGCATAACATAGTTTTTTTGGATTTTTTTGAATTTCTTTGTTCCTTTCATTGATGGGACCTTCCCAGGTCCTTGCATGATCGGGCCGCCCGGGTCAAACAAGCTGACCCGGGCGACCCGGCTGGTAGCCTAGTTTTTTTTTCATTTTTTTCATTTTTTTCATTTTTTCCATCAACGCAGACTCGCTATCAGCCGCTCCATGAGCAAAATGAAGCCCATTTCTGCATCCATCCATTACCCTGACAGACAAGTTAGCGCTCACCCGCATTCACTAACAGCCATTTAGCGCGTCATGCAAATTCAGTAACAGTAGTCTATAGGCGACCTTATTACTATTGGCCCATACGCATTTACGATAGGTGACCTTGCGACCATTCACCGGACTTTCTTTTTAGCTGATACTCTCTTTGGAGCAACTAATCATAGTACTGTGGCCGCTACCATGGAGCTATAAGGTGACCTTACGATGATAGCAGTGGCAGGTACCATGGCATTTACTATAAGGTGACCTTACGTCGTTACGACCGTCCACCCATATGCATTTACTAAAAGGGGTGACCTTATGACTATTTTTTCTTTCTTCTTCTTTTGTTCTTCTAAAATGTGTGCAAGATGTGCACCGCATAAACATCCAGTGCTAGCACATAAACTCGTGCCAGACTGCCAGTCGGCGATTCGGAGTGGGTGCAGGACTGTCAGGGGGGGCGCTCTGTCTGCGATGGCGGGGGTGCATATGGTCTATGGTTAATAATAGACGTCCATCGGAGTACCTCCCCGGCTCAGCAGGTGGTGGGAGCGAACAGTATGCGGGGTTCACTCGTGATGTGAGTAGGGGATGTGCCGCTTGTTTGCTCCGTGCTGGATGTGTGGACTGCCTTGTCCGCGATCCGCTGCTGCCGTCCTGCTCATCCTGCTGGCGTCGCGTGTGGTCCTTTGCGAGCTGCTGTCTTTACTGTGTGGTGTAGCTGTGGTGTTTCTGTTTCCCTGTGCTTAGCTGCACTGCTGCCCATCCGCGTGCCTTGCCTTCCGTGTTCCTTGCTTGTGTGCTGTGTACCGTGTTCCTTGCTTGTGTGCTGTGTAGTGTGGCTGCTGTGTTGGTGTCCCCTTGTGATTTGTTGCGCTGTTGCTGTGCTGCTTGCCCGCTTGGCCCGTCTTGTGTTGCAGTTGTTTTTCGCGTTGTGCAGTTGGGTTGCTCCGGCAATGTTGTTGCCGTGCTTCACTGAGTTGTTGCCTGATGCTGTGTTCCGCTTGTGAACCGTCTGCCTTCAACAAGGGTCAAAAGGGTTCATGACCTGAACCATCAATATGGAGATTCCGAAGATTGTCGAGGGCTCAGCCTCCTGATGACCAGTCGGTGCACCTCCGACGAAACAATCTATCATCAGTTTTATTTTTTGGGGTCTTAGTTTTGCTTTGGTGCCTTTTTTTTTGGGTCTGCTGGGTTTTGTCTTTGCTGCGTTTCTTCAGTTTGCCTAGTTTCTCATTTTGCTCTCTCTCATTTTCCTTACAATTTGGTATCGGAGCTGGTTCGAGCCGCTCCGCTGGCTCCTTCACAATAGCTGTTTGGTGCTTCACTGGTAATGGTGGGGCAGTGATAACGCTTGCGCGCTGGTGAAAAGGCGGCCCAGGGTCGTGTGGGCACGCCAAGAAGGCTATGTGGTAACATATAGGGGTGCACGCTGGATGATGAGAACTTGCTGACATGGCATTTAAGCGTAGATGGAACTGCATTGTATTGTGGGTTGTGCCGAGGCATCGACCGGTCATCATAAATGCACGTCAGGTTACTGGTGCGAAATCTGTGGTTGGGGGCAGCACTATGAGGTACGTTGATCTTTACCTTATCTACCCTCTTTGTTGCTTCTTACCGTGAGGAAGTGAGTTCTGCCTTGAGAGTCCTCGCACTGTCAGGTGCCGCAAGCGCTCAACCTTGGGAGTCGACATTCTTCCTGGGGAAAAAGCTGGTGGGCGACAGGTGTTGCCTCTGAAGGCGCCTGGACGAAGTTGCTGCGCTGTAGAGGTCATGTCGGGCAGGCCAGCCCTACGAGGGAGAGACGAGTACCGGACCATCTATAAAGAGACTCCAGCGGGGATACACAACTCATGCTGTACGCGAGTATAAAAATAGTACGGCCGGGGCTGGCCAGTTCTGCATAGACTTGGGGCACAGGGCTGGGGTGATTGCACAACTTCAGACACGCCGCTGAACCAGAGCTCCTTTTCCCCTATGTATGGCATACCTCCATCAACTGGTTTAGCAGTAAGTAATAGCGGGCAGATTTCAGTTCCATCTTCACTTCCACACTCAGCAGCTGCTGCTACAAGGCAGCCGCATGTACAGCAGTTTGTGCAACAGTTACCGTCGCAGCAGCAAGTGCCACTGCAGCGGCCTGGTCCACTGGTTTCACAACCAATGCAGCAGGCACAGGGTGCTATACAGCCCATGCAGTGGACACCCAAGATACCCTTGTTGAGTCCTAAACCCTTCTCTAGTGACAAGAAGCGGACTTGGATACCTGGGTGAGGACCGTGCCTACGTACATGAAGCACAAGCTCACAAGGACAGAGGAAGAGGTTATTGTCACTGCATCCTTCCTAAAAGGATCTGCAACTAGATGGTTAAACGGTGTAGTACAGCAGCAAGGATACGCCCAAAACTTCGATGTCTGGGCACAGGCCTGAACATTGGAGGAGTTCATACGAATGGTCTACAACAGGTGGCATGACCCTCAAGGGGCTCAAAAGGCCACCGAATCGCTAGCCAGACTAGGATCAAAGAGATACCGGACAGTTTGCGAGGTGACAGATGTCGTAGAACGACCGAGCGTTGTTCGTGGCATGCGGTACGAGCCACAGGCAATCCTCACAACTTATTTGCGATGTTTGCCCATAAATGTCAAAACCAAGTTGGTCGATGAGGCCTCCATAGATTTGCATAACTTTGCCTCGTTTAGCAAGGAAGCCCTAGACATAGAGGCTAAGCTTGGGAGTGTCCATCAGGGACCAGTAGATGGGCGGAAGAAGAAGCTTCCTCAAGATTGGAGGAAGAAAGGCAATCTCGCGTTCGTTGACCATGATGGTCAAGCGACTAAGATTGTTGACTTCTTTGACCTTGGGGAAGAAACAAAGATAGATGGGAGTGGGGAAACTTCAGATGGTGGAGTAGTCGCGCCCATTAGAGAACAGGCTAAGGGGGCCGGGAAACAGAAGGTAGGCCGGCCCAAGGGTCGAAATGACCAAGGACCACCCATATGGGCGAAGCTTGGTCTTGAATACGATGTGTGGCGGGACCGTGTTGCGAGAGGCGCTTGTCTCGATTGTGGCCAGTATAGGCACACAATGAGCAAGTGCAAGAGTAAGCGGGTCGCAAGGAAGGTCGTGTCCTCTATCGTGACTATTTGATCTTCCAACTCTGGTGGTGCTTCTGCAAGTACTTCCCAAGGAAACACCTCGGGCCAGTAGGAGTGTTAGCCGCTCTTACGCGTGCTGAAGTGGTTACTTTACCTTCTTCATTTCAGACGATGGTCAAGGCTATTGACCCCATGATCGCCTTGCTGACAGATCCGGACCAATCAATGCTCTGTTCGATGGATGTGTCTGAGTCCTTAGATGAGTTAGAAAGTGAGTGGTTAGAGAAAGACCCTAGAGACTCCTGGGTGATGTTGAACACAGGTCCAAGGGGTGAACATTTCATGGTAAAGTCGATGTAAGTGACCAAAAGGTAGGCGCCTTCGCAAACATAGGTTCTACGCGAAACTTCATCAGTCGTGCTTGTGTGGATAGGTTGCACTCAAAGAACCAAGTGTAGCGGCTTAGCAAATATATAGCATCTACCTTAGCCAACAAGCACTCTATGATAGCTGTCTCTTATACACATCTAGATGTGTATAAGAGACAGGGGGGGGGAACACTGCCAAATCTCTGCACCAAAAAAAAAAAAAAAAAAAAAAAAAAAAAAAAAAACCTCTAAGAAAAAGTAAAAAAAAAGTTTAAAAAACTCAAAAACAAAACACAATAAAAAAACATTGTTCAGTGATTGATTCAAGCCCACACTCCCACCACTGTTAATACACCGATTGGTGGCCTGTTCCCCGACTTCTCTCCGAGATCTGCCAGTGGGACAAGCAGCCAATCCAATTACGTGACATAGTCATCTTATTCCTCTACCTACCTACCTACCTACCTACCCATCTATCTATCTATCTATCTATCTATCTATCTATCTATAACATATAATACTGTATATACGTTACGCACATACACGTTCTCTCACGCTTGCTGCTTCCCTTGAGGCTTGTCTGTTGCCGAGTCATTGTTCTCGAGCGTCTTTAGCAGCCGGAACAGCCCTGCCGCCTCCCTGATCCTTGAAAACTCTATGCAGAATGCTTGGACCTCGATGAACAGGTCTTGCACGTTAACGATCTTGTTGCGAATCAAGCTTTGTAGGAAGACGCAAACGAGCCTAACGAGTCGATTTTGCATGTACTTGTCCTTGATGTTCTCGCACGACGATATGCAATTAGATATGTACAAGTGCACAAACTCCGTCGGAAGCTCAACTGCTGTCGTAAGGCGATTGACAACTTCCATGGAATGCAGACTCAAGACCATGCTGACCAGAACCGACAGATACTCGGTGATCTGACTGGAGTGCATGAGCCTTAGCAACACCTCCACAGCGATGACAGGGTTGTTTTCCACAAGGTCCGGCAGTCGTCGAGGCGTGAGGCCGCAGTGATACACGAGCTTCGGGTCGGCGTCGAGCTCCGCCAGGACTTGCTGTAGCTGCACATGGGCCAACGGGCCCTTCAGCGCCCTTGCCATTAGGTCTCGCACTGCTGCGCCCCGGCTGGTGTCGGCACACATGCTCGTGTCCCACAGCAGTTCATGATTCGTGTCCGGGTGGAGCCAGACCATCTCTCCGTCCTGTGGGGGCAGTATGGGTGGGGCAGGACGAGCCCACGGCGGTTCGAACCCCTTCAACGACAAGTTCTGCATCAGCTCCGCAGCCGCGCCTTCGCGGGTTGCGGAGGATGACTTTGGAAAGCCCACCAAACTAATATACTCTGGGGTGTCTTTGTCGAAGCCTTTCGGCACGCTCGGATCGGCCACCGCATTGTGCACGCCTGCTCTTCGGAAGCTGCTGGCACTCGGCTCGGCGGGCAGGGAGTCGGCTAACTCTTTCCGCAATGCATCACGACTCGGCAAAGCTGTTGCTGTGGATGGGTCGAAGCTCGCAGCTATGTCCTTCGGGGTCTTCCTGCCGAGCTCTCGTGACGCCGGATTCCTAACGAGTTGCAGAATAAAATCCCGCTCCACTTTTTCGGCTGTTTCGTCTGATGCGGCGTCAACAAGGATTCCCATGAATGGATTGCAGGCACCTGCATCCGGCCTCTCAAGACTGTACACATAAAATAGGATGTAGAGGGCGGCCAGCCGTTGTCCCGGTTTGAGGAGGACTCGATCCTCGAGCAGAAGCACGAGAGCACAGCATCCCCGGAACAAATCCTGCCTTGGAAAGGCCTTCATGAAAGCCCCGGCGCTGACATCCAACGGCCTCTCGTCCACGAGAACGGAGAGGAGGAGAAGAGAAGTTTCGCGAGGAGTCAGCATTGTCGTCTTCTGCCGCGGGCGACAACCAACCACCTCACACCAGAACCACTTCCACCACCCCTACCACCACAAGGGGATGCGCTGTGTCCCACAGTTTGCTCGCTGAGCCCTGAAACACATGCGCTGCGCCCTGAGGATCGCTTGCTGCGCCCCCAAGATCGCTCGCTCTGAGCCCTGAAACGGAAGAACCACCATCAGTCGAACTCAGAAACCTTCCCGGGAAAATTGGTAAAACCTCCCGGCAGATCAAATCGGTTGGAGATCACAAACGAATGATATTCAGGGACACTACCTTTCTCATATATGGGGCCGCGGGCCTCGCGATTCAAAGTCGGAGGCTGAGTGCCGCCGATGAAAATTATCAACGGTGGTCCGGCGGTGAATTTTTCGGAGTACGTCACTTTTACAACTTCGTGTCACAGCCTGAGAGGCAATTTGATGAGCATGCACGAAACCAAACCAAAATCTGTTTGCCCTCCTTCCCTCCCTCTCTCCCCTCCTTCTCTCCCCTCCCTCTCTCCCCTCCCTCTCTCACCTTTCTTCTGACTTCTGCACACTCTTCCTCCTCGTCTCGTTACCAGAGGAGAAAGAACACTCGCTCACCGGTGCAAACTTGAAAAATACACCTGCAGATGGGTGAGGACTGCCACATAGATGTACACTTGCATCCGCACGCAATAGACTATTCTCCACCTCAGCTGGCTGAAGGCATCATCACGCGCGGGAAGGACAAAAGGGCTGCCGTTCACAAATTACATAAATGTTCCAGATCCTGAAAAGCAAAATGACAACACAGCTCCAAACTTAACAGTCAGCGCAATACCCGTTAAAACAATCAGCAGCATAACTTAACGATTACGCACATGATGATGATGATGATGATGATGATGATCACACCACAGACTTAATATTAACTTCATCCTTGAGTTATGTGTTTTACTAGGCTACCAGAGTGGCCCGGGACCACTTGCCCAGCCGGGCCAAAAAAAAAAGATGAAAAAAAAAGGTAAAGAATTTTGATGTGACCCTGAGGCAAATGTTGTTCAATTTATTTTTATGCATAACATCTAGGCTACGAGAGCATCTAGGCTGCTAGAGGGCCTGGGACCACTTGCCCGGCCGGGCCAAACTAAAATAAAGAAAGTAAAAAAATAAAAATATGTTTTTATAAATTTTATTTTTATTTAAAAAAAATTCGGTAGAGAATTTCGATGTCACCCTGAGGCAAGAGTTGTTCAGTTTATTTATCTTCATAACATAGTTTTTTTTCGGATTTTTTTTTTTTTTTTTTT